GATATAACCAGCTCAGGTAGATAGAGGTGTAAACCTATAATTTTATCCCAAGATCTGAAAAGAACTATTTATACTTTTTTCATGTAGAAAAGGCACGAGCGTAATATCTCACCTCAACGATATTTCAAAGTGTTACCTTGACAGCTAGCTACACTAGGTTACTGTAGTTCATGCTCCAATCAAAACGTTTAAAGTGTTAATCTCTATGGACCGTATGACTTTGAAGAAGACTATTCCGTAATTTAGAGATTCACCTACTCGCTACCTTCAAGAGTCAATAGTAAAGTGACACGTCCTTTTTCTTCATGGGTCATTTTAATCATTTCCATTTCTCATAAAGTGCTCAATTTGTAGCGTTTTTTTTTTCGCAAATCTCGAGTACATGCTTCAAAATTCACTTCCGAGAGAACTTTGTATGGAACTTTGCGCCTTGGTTTTGTGTCTAGAATATTTCAGAAAAGATGCCAGTTGACCTCAACGATGAATAGGCGTAACCACCTTAGCGACTTAATCGCATAACTAAATTAACTATCTTTCGGATGCTCCTATGAACCATAGAGCGGGCATAGTCAAGTGGGAGCGCTAACTATTCATATTTACTTAACTATCTCTGCTTTCGCTTAGTTTTTTCTTCTATCCGAAACGATATCGGGATTGCAGAACAAACACGAACACTGGTTATAGCAGCTCCAACGCTAACTATAACAACGGTTACAACGCCAACAACAATGGTTTCGGTACCACTGGCTACAGTAGTAATTACGGCACTACTCCATCCTTATACAGTACTGCAAACAACAATCCATATGCATATCAGACGACAACACAATATGGAACAAACCGGCTATACGATCAAAATGGTCAATGGAATGGTGTAGCATCGACGACAGCATTGATGGCTGTAGTTACCACAGCTATTGCATATCTTTTGTAAACAATGATACTGCTCAATTTTCACGATTTAAGCCTTTGATCTTGTCCGAGTGATATATATGTATACTGCTTTGAAGCAGGGATATATATACTAATAAATTGTAAATCCTATACTCTCGTAGAATGGGTTGCATATGTTGAAAAAATTTGAAGAGGTTAGAGACTGATGTGTTGACAAAATAGGATGACTCAATAATAAATCAGTTATGAAATATCAAGTAAAAACCAGAGTTTATGACACAGGAATCCCAATAATTGGCAAAG